CGTGTTGAAATGAGAGTGGCGACAGAGGGCTTGTGTATCTTGTATCTTATTAAAAGAACATCCTTTCATCATTTTTCCATTCGTCGTGAGGTTGGGGTTGCTTTTGATTTTCTTGGAGCCCTTCATAGAGTTAAGGAAATTCCTTTCTTTTCTAGTTTACAAAGATCCATCAAAGAGCGCGATAGAGTTGAGTCTTCTATCTTTCCCTTTCTGCATCTATTAGGACCACCCCACTTTCTTCTTCAATCTGCTTAATATGAGGAGTTACAACTCTCATTCTTACCCAGAGCACAGCTGCTCTGGATGAAAGACCACACCGGGATGGAGTTATCAGTCATCCTTAAAGGTCTCCTGGTGGTTCCAATGTGCAGCCAAGCTCACAACCTTGCAGTTAAGGCTTTAGCAGGTGCCTCTGCCTGTTCTGTCTCCGGTTAGACATTCTTATGGCCGCCCTCATTCCACAAGGACTTATGGCACCCTCAGATTAGAAAGGAGCCTTGCCAGGTGGGGTGAAGGTTACACAGAGTTCCCCATTGGAACTGATGGTACAGATGGGGATCTGAAGCCAAGATGACTGGTGGAGTGCCATTTCCCACAGGCTAATTGTTTTGGAGTTTCTTGGCTAAATGCCCCACAAGCTCCTCCTGTCAAAGTTGGGTCTGGGCCCTTGTTAATCAGCTGAACCTATGGAGGCCTGGGTGGGAAAAGATGGTGGGAAAAGATGGTGGGAGTGGCTCATTTGCGACAGAAATGCCCAGGTGTGGCAGCATCGCCTTTCCCCTGTGAAGGTCATTAAGGACCCACAGGACCCAATGAAAAGAGAGGAACTAAGCCATCACTGGGCGGGCATATCTTTTCTTTCTTCCTACTTCTTGGCTTGTTCACTTGGGAAGCTGGCCACAGAAACCTGGGGCCGGGATTGGTGAGTTTCCTTTCCTGCCAATTTACTTTCTTGGATTTTAAGACTTTTTAAAAATTTACATCATCACCTCTGTTCCCCTATTTTCTTACTTTTGAATCTGTTTTACTTTTTAAAAGTGTATTTTAAGTTGACAGATGAAATTGTATGCTTTTGTCGTGTAGCACATGATATTTTGAAGTGCCTACATGCATACTTTGTGCAATGGTTAAATCTAGCTAATGCATCACTGTGGCCTCATCACAGACACCTTTCTTCCAGTGACATGTGGCATGTTATAGAATAAGAGGATATTTTATTTTTTAGGATTTTGATGCATGATGTTTTTACATATGTATGGGATACATGTGATGTTTTGCTGCATGCCTAGAATGTGCAATAATCAAGTCAGGGTACTTAGGGCATCCATCACCTCAGGCATTTGTCATTTCTTTGTGCTGGGAACATTTAACATCTTCTCTGCCAGCTATGTGGAGACAATAGAATGGAATATTGTTCGCTGGTGTCACTCTACCCAACGGTCAAACATGGGGATGTGTTCCTCCTACCTCAGTGTGTGTTTGCACCCATTGACCCCTCATCCACACCCTTCCAGGCCTCTAGGAACTGTCATCCTACTCTATATTTACAAGCTCAACATTTCTTAGCTCCCACACATGAGTGAGAACACGTGACATGTGTTTTTCTGTGCCTGGCATATTTCACTTAACACAGTGACCTCCAGCTTCATCTGTGTTGCGGTGAAAGTCAGGAGGAAAAGATCATAAATGATCAGGGACAGCGTTCCTGCTTCTTGTAATGCTCAGCTGAGCCCCAAGGGGTTGATTCCTTAGGGGAAAACGCAAACTCTGTAAAATACATATATGTGTTTGTTTTCTTTTGCTTTTTTGCACTCCTTCATGGGGATAAGGAAGTTCCTTTCTTTGCTAATTTGCAAAGCTCCATCTAAGAGCAGGCATACATGTTGAGTCTTCCATCTTCCCCTTTCTGCATCTATTAAGATGACACCATTTTTCTTCTTCAATCTGAGGAGTTGCAACTCTTATCCAGAGCACACTGGCTCCCAGTGACTTGAATAAATAGATTTCACTTGGGAAAGAGAAGAAAGTGAGGAGTGACTGCATAATGTGATGGGTTTCCTTTAAGAGTGATGAAATTTGGAACGGATGGTGGTGTCATTTTCTACCCTTTTGGGCACTGGGCTTCATGTAGAACTGCTGTGAAATGTAGGCACCATAAAACATGGCAGTTGGTCCATTTCTGCCCCTTGGTGGGGGCTTGTGAGGACATTCCCACGTGGATCACAACCTTGGTGGAGTGAGAGCTCACCAGCTGCTCTGTCATTTCTATTCATCCTGATTCTCTTTGCAAGTAGGGTCTGCTAGTGCCTTGCCCACTTCTGCCCTTCAGGTGGACGTGCGTGTCGAATGTGTCTGAGATACCACTGTCTTTCCACAAGGCATTTGGTATATGATGGAGGAGCCCCAAACCTTGGAATGATCTTGTGGAGGGTGGGCCCCTATAGTTCAGGCTTCCCTCCCTAGGTAAGATTTCAAGGAACCCACCAGCATCCATGTACCAGATAGTGTTGATGTGAGAATCTGCATTTGACCTCAGTGAATTTTTTCTTTTTTTGAGAGTCTTTCAACACATTTGCCCCTTCCATGGTGGGTGATCTACAAGCATATCTGCTAACACTGCACTGAGTGGGCAGAAGTTTTTGACCAAAGGCAGCATGACCCTGAGTCCCACCCTCCCTATTCACTGAATCTCACCCAAGTGACTTTTTTTTTTTCCTGAATGAAAAAAGTCCTCAAAGGGAAATATTTTGCCTACATGGAAGAGGCAAAATGAAGGATGGCAGAAACACTAAAAGGCATCAAAATGGATGAGTTCAAACACTGTTTTGAGCAGTGGAAAAAGCATCTTGATTGGTATATTGCCTCAAAGGGAGAGTTCTTTGAAGGTGACTGAAGTCTAAACATGTAAGAATAAGCACACAATTTTTTATCAATTCATTTTTGTGTGTCCTCCCTTATCAGCTTCACCAATGGTTTCTTTGTGCCCAATAATCCACTTGCATTGGGTATCTAGTTGGGTCTATTTCATGGTTGGTGACGGAGCTGTCTAGCTTTGAGCAGACACCTGCCCTTCTCCAGCTCTCATTTACCCCTCGAAGGAGTTCTGTGCCCCTTGTTCTTTGTGTCAAAGCATTTGCCACAAAACCACAGAGAAGCCAGCTACCACCCATCTACCCACATCTCATCTGATCTTCCCTCTCCATCCTTGTCATAAAATCTGAGTTCCTTAGTAACGAGGCTTTGGAATGCATCCTTGTTCAGACACCATTTTGCAATGCCAACTTCGTGTGACTGAGCATCAGGGTATCTGGATCAGATGGACATTGAAACTCACATTTGTAGGAGTTCAGGAGATTTGGGGCCTGAACAAGGAAAAAGATAACCAAGAAGTGGCAATGTCATATGCATGCTTTTGTGGGTGGCACTTGAACAGGTTTGCATGTGGGGGATGTCTCTCATGGGAGAGGTCTGTCCAGGGGCTACAGTGTGGGTCTCTATTCAGAAGAGGAAGAAGATGAGGGATTTCTTGGGGAGCGGGAGAACTGGAGAGGTGACTTACATGTGTAGATAATGTCTCTCATCAGCTGAGCGGGGAGAAGGGTCTCTGGGTCAGGGTGCTCCTAAGGGTGGTGGTAGCTTAGGGTATTTTTGACCCAGGACATATCTATTGCTGGCAGATGTTGGAAGCAGTTGTGTGGCATATACAAATCAGGCAGGCTGTACAAGGCTAAAAATCTGCTCATTTGGGTTGTGTTTAAAACAGTTGGATATGCACAGACTTGAGATAAAGCCCACTGGCTCTTAAGAGCTAATAGGTCTCAACATAGAGTAAAAAAATGACCCAGGGACTGTCTTTGGCTCATCTGTATAGCAACAGTACATAACAGAGCATGTCCTGACACTTAGATTTTCCAGAGTCTGCAAGACCACAAACACAGCATCTTGTTATGGTGGAAACAGTTGTGTCTTCACTGGGAGTTCTCATAGGTATCTAGACATAATGATGTACCCAGAAGGAGTGTGGTCATTGTTTTTAAAAAAAAAAACATTCACATTCATATTTATTGCCTCACTATTCACAATAGTAAAAACATGGGACTAATCCTGCTGCCCCTCGAAAGTAGGATAAATAAAATGTGGTCCATATACACGATGGAATATTACACAGCCATAAGGAAGGACAAAATCATGGACTTTGCAGCAAATTGGATGGAATTGGAGACCATCATTCTTAGTGATCTATCATAGAAACAAAGGACCAAATACCACATGTTCTCACTCAACAGAGGACCTGAACATTAATCACAATAGCATAAGGGAGGGATTGGCAGTTGCAGGACACTGTCAAGTAAGGGGGAAGTGAGGGCATGTAACCACACAAAGGGTACCTGGTCCTAAACCAGGGGAAGTGAGGGCCAGTTGGAGATCCAGACTTCATCTGAACATACATCACCTATGTGCACAATCCTGACTTGTACCCTACATCTTTATAATAAAATAAACAAGAAGACAACCAAGCTCTGCACAGATTATGCCAGCACAGGGCAGTCTCATACACAAAAGCATATCTTGTAAGAGACCATAAGTATAGATTTCTGAGCTGTACAGAGGTGGCACTCAGTTACAAAAGAAACACTTTCCCCCAAACATTTTTATGTTACACTCTTTTATCAAAGCCTAAATGCTATTCAATAATGGGGGGCAATTTTGACAACAAGGATGCTGCCTTTTAACACAATGGATGTTCCACATTTATTTCAACCTAGATGTCTATCAGGAGCAATTGACAAAGTCTTTGACCCAGCAAGAAAAAGTTCAGGTGTGTTATAGATGGCTTGTCAAAAAGGAGCTCATATCAGAGGACAAGAATTTTTCACAATGCCAACTTGGGATGAGCAGGTACTACCATGTAGCTTGATTCTGATTGTGTATCTGTGTTTTAGACTCCTTATCCCTAGAATTCCCTTCTCTCTGAAGTCTGACCTCGTGGGAGAAGAAAGATGGCAGAATCGGATTCTGCAGACTTTGACCTGGTGTGGTATCTAAACGATCTCAGTGACAAGGAATTCCAGAGTTTTAAGAATTGGTTTGAACAAGAGACTGTGCAGTTTGGACTGCCACAGTGCCCACGGATTAACCTCAGGATGACCAGACAGGATGTGGCCAACGTGTTGACCACGTCTTATGAGGCACAGCACACCTGGAATGTGATGGTCAGCATATTCCAAAAGATCCGCCGTGAGGATCTCTGTGAAAAGATCAATGATAGGCGAAACCGTGAGTGGGGGCATTTGCCGGGTGGGTAGGGATATGGGGAAGTTGGCAAGAAGCTTGGTGGCTTTGGTAAGTGACTTCTCCACCCCCAGGGTGCCCATCTTCAGACCTGGTCAGTGATGGAGTGAACGTGAGCTGTGTCCTGTCCTGTAACTGGTTCCACCCCTACTTTCTGCTTTCGTGATAACTGCCTTTTGTGAAAGTAGCTAGCCAAGGTTAGACCCACTCTGAGAATGTGCTTAAGTGAGGGTAGATGTCTGCTCTACTCTAGAGCTCACTAGAGCCTCAACCTCCTGGGCTCAGTTGCTCCTTCTATCTCAGCCTCCCAGGTAGCTGGGACTCCAGGTGCATGCCACCATGCCCAGCTTAAACTAGGGTAGTGGCCTACATGGAACTTTGTTCTAGAACCATAAGATCAGACCCAAGAAATGCAAGATTATGGAGAGCTCATTTACTGGGTATTCTCTTAAGCACATCGTGTTCATTGGCTCCTTCAGTCATTGCCAAGCATCTCAGAAATAGATATAATTATGTAGCCAAGTTGAAAAACTGAATGTTTGAGAGGCTGAGGGAACTTAACAAGGTTATGCATCCAGTTCAAAGTCCCCTAGGTAGCAGAGCTAAGACTCTAAGTTAAATATAACTGACACTATTTTTATTTAGCTTTTTAAATTTATTTTTTGATGTTATTTATTTATTTATTTTTGAGTTGGAGTCTCACTCTGTCACCCAGACTGGAGTGCAGAGGCCGTTCCCGGCCACTGCAACCTTGACCTGCTGGGCTCCAGTGATCCTTCCACTTCAGCCTTCCAAGTAGCTGGAACTACAGGCACATGCTACCATGCCCAGCTAATCTTTTATTTATTGTAGAGATGAGGTCTTACCAAGTTGTCCAAGCGGGTTTCGAACCCGCGGGCTCAGGCACTCCACTCACCTCAGCCTCCCAAATTGCTGGGATTACAGACTGAGTCACCGAGCCTGGCTTATTATTAATTTATTTAGAGGCAGGGTCTTGCTCTGTTGACCAGGTTGGAGCTCAGTGGTATGATCATGGCCCACTACAGCCTTGAATTTCTGGGCTCAAATGATCCTCCCATCTCAGCCTCCTGAGAAACTGGGACTTCAGATGCACACCACCACACAGAGCTAATTTTTAAATTTTTTTGTAGGGCTGGGATCTCACTATGTTGCCCAGGCTGGTTTCAAACTCCTGGTGTCAAGTAATCTTCCTGTCTCACCCTCCCAAAGCATTTGGATTACAGGCTTGGGCCCCTGTGCCTGGCCATAAAGGATTCAATTTCCAGGCTTTCTTGTCATATCTTTCCCATCTGTGGTCTATTCTGCATTTGTCTGAAAAGACTTACAGGGACCAACCAGGCAGGTCTTGAAAATATGCAAAGTAGCTGCCATCTCTACACAAAACATGGATTCAGGTTTACTACTATCCCGCAGGTCTGATTTTTCAGACAGCTACAATGGTTATCAACTATTTTTTTAAATTGGGGTCTCATTCTGTCATCCTGGCTGGAATGAAGTGGCATAATCATGGCTCACCACAGCCTCGACCTCCTAGGTTCAGACAATCCTTCCACCTCAGTTTCCTGAGTAGCTAAGACTACAGGGATGTACCGCCATGCCCAGCTAATTTTGTGTGTGTGTGTGTGTTTTAGAGATGGGGTCTCACTACATTGCCCAGGCTTGTCTCCAATTCCTGGGCTAATGAAATCCTCCCCCAAAGTGCTGAGCTGGACTTGGCTTTCATTTTTCACATCTTATCCCATATAAATAAAATATATGGATAGCCAGAAAAAAATCTAATACATAGCATAGAATATTCAAAGAGTATCAAAAAATGAGAATAGAAAAAGTCACCTGGAGTCATCTTCCTTGAGCTCTTTCCAGGGTTAACAGCTTTATCCTTCTGTAACTTTCTGTGCAGGTAGACAGACATGAGAGCAGAAAATATGAGCACACTATACACATTATGTTTGGACTCACCTTCATTTACCAAGCTTCACATAAACATATTCAAATAATGTTAAAAATACCTTAAACTGTCCTCATTCTAGAGCTCACTCCCAACAGGTGACAATATGTCAGTTTCTGTAGGAATTCTCCCAGAGTTTTATAATTAATTTTTGTCAATATATCTAGGTAGGAGAGTAATTTTTTTTTTTGAGTTGGAGCCTCACTCTGTTGCCCAGACTGGAGTGCAGTGGCATGGTCCTGGCCACTGCAACCTTGACCTGCTGGGCTCCAGCAATCCTTCTGCCTCAGCCTTCTAAATAGCTGGAACTACAGGTGTGTGTTACCATGTGCAGCTAATTTTTTTGATTTATTGTAGAGATGAAGTCTCAGCAAGTTGCCCAGGTGGGTCTCGAACCCGCGGGCTCAGGCAATCCACTCACCTCAGC